AACTTTTTCAGCCCTTCACCAGCCCTGTTCTGAAAGCTGGACAAGACCTGGAGCCAACTCTGGAAGCCCATATTCCCCAGCAAGGACCCTCTTAGCAAGCACAAGAATAGCAAACGAGCATCCAGGACTTGTAATCCAGTGTGCTCTAGATGAGGCTGTTGTGGTGGCAGTGTCCCTGTAAGACAGCATCCCTGGGATAGTGGGAGCTTGTGCTTGGCAAAGGGAGTTGGATACAGACCAGATAGGGGAACACCTGCCTCCCTTCCCTTCACAGAGCTGTCTGTAGATTAGAGACTTAAGAAACCCAAACCTCCAAACTCCTCAGCAAAGATCAACACGACTTCCCAACTTAATTATCTCTGGCAAGAGGTAGCACTGAAAACAGAGGTTTGGGAACATCAGAGCAAAGGCTAGGCAGGAGAGTGGGTACAGCTGCCAGGAGCACTCCAAGAAATCTTTGTTTATTAAACAGCAAGTGCACAGTGAAACCTGCCACCAATGACTTTATAAATTCAGTAACTGCAATGTTTTTGTATCTTCTAGCAACTAACACCTGGGCATTAGGAGAGAAACAGGAGAGAAACCCAAATCTCTTGGCCCCGCTAATACTTGCCCATCTCCTCAGCTGCCCTAGCTGTCAGCAGGCTTAGCTTGGCCTTCTGTATCTCTCAAACAGAAACTGTCATCACACAGGGTTTTCAGCCACAAAACTGCTACAGGAAAACTCTGACTGCAGTCATCTCATAAACTTGAGCCAGTGTTAGGATGTGAAAGCAGCCCTGGCCAAGCTGCCCAAACCACCTGAGGATGTGCTTGCAACCAGAAAAACAATCAGATGGCTTTTTTAAAATAGATCTGTGTGTTTGAATAAAAGAAGAACAGTAGTAAAATAATATTCAAAGCATTTTTAATGGCACTTAACAGCACTCGGTGAAACATGGAGGGGACAAAGAATTTCGCAAGGGAGCAGCAAATGGTTCCCAAGGAACTGAAGCCCTTTCCCTCACGTTACTAACTGTTGTCAGGCAGAGGATCACATGCAGGGGTTCTCTCTTGCCCACCTGAATGTGAAAAGTAACACACACACAACTTCTTCCCCACCCCAGCCTGTGCCATTCCCTTTTCCAGGACCTGAGCAGCTCTCAGACGCCTTTGGGCAGATCTGTCATCCCTGGCAGAATCCCACTGCAAAGACAACACCAGAAGGGCCTCTGGGCACAAACAGCAGTAGGTTAACAGCCAACATAGGCTCTCCTGAGCCGGGGAGGGGGGTGAAACGTCACAGACCAGCAAGAAACACCATGCAATACCTTTTTCCTGGGTGCACACAGATCCCACACTTCTCTGTCGAGGGGAATAGCTTGATGATTTGGCGGAAGAGCTTGCACCCCACTGCACCAGCATGCTCAGCTTTGTGATGCACAGAGGGAGACAGGAACTTGAGAAACCAAGAGCTTTACCTTACCCAGCTGCTGCAGAAAGACAATTACCCTGGAAAGACAGACCTTACGAAAGCAAGACACTCAAACAGCCAGAGTCAGAAGATGCAGAGTTTTATTTCTGTTCAAAGTGAAGGTTAAGCTCACTCTTTGTAAGGCTCTGTAGCAAGGTGGGAAGTACTTGTCATGTAGGGTCAATAGTTGGACTCTATGATCCCAAGGGTCTTTTCCAACCTGAATTGTTCTATGATTCTATACTGCCTGTATAGCCCCTCAAGCCAGCCCACACCAAGACTGCCAGTGCCTTTTTTTCACCCCCTCCCCCACAGCTTTTCTTTTTACCTCATCTGTAATTGGCAAAAGCCACCCAGCTCAGTAGGTGATTGAAATGCAACACCTTCAGTGCATCACCACGACCTGGTCTTTGTAATCAAAGCCAGGTCAAATTCTAAAAATAGCTCTGTCTGGCATTTACACCAGAGCCATTCCCCTTTCGCAAAGGAGCATGTTTCCTGCCAGTGCTTTTTATAACAGAAAAAGCTAGTTTGAGGTGAAGAAGGGCCTAACTTTTACTTGATCCTGGTATTAGAAAAGAGCCTGACCCTCCTATTGCAACACCTCTCCTAGCATCCATCACACTCCAGTACCCAGGCAGAGGGAAATCATTAATCCCATATCAAGCCAAGTGGCGGGTAGGGGGGGAAGGACTAAGACTGACCTGAAATAAATGCAGAAAAACCTGAAAAGTTTGTTCCTGGCACTGCAAGCAGGAGTAGCTCAGGAACACAGTGGTTAGTGGGGAAACTTAAGAGCATGGAGACAAGGGTTTGGCTCCTCTCCTCCTTCCCGTGGCTGCAGAGGCTCTGGAAGCCTTTGTGTTGGCATGGAGGCAACAGGAACAGGCAGCTCTTTCCTGTTTTGGGCAGGCGTCCATTGCGGACGTGTGCTCCTCCCTGCCAATGGCCAGTTGGAGGAAGCTGGTCCTGCGTCCAAATCACCTCCCCAGCCCCATGGGTGTTTAAATAAGATGGCAAGATACACAGCCAACAGTTTGTTCCACCTTTATTTTAACAATCGGATAAAAACAGAACCATAGTTTTAAAAGAGTCATTACACGGCAATTATAAAGTGCATTTTCCACTTGAATGTTGTGTACAAAAATATCTTTTAAAAACAAACATGCAAAAACACCCCACGAGGCACTTCCAGGCATAGAGCAAGGAGAGAAACCCCTCACTTCTATGTTCACATTGGCAATGGAAAAAGGGAAAAGGGGAAAGGCCACAAGTAGCACTTTTAAACCACTATTGGTCAAATAGTCAGTTCCCAGCCTAGCTTTTACCTATGGCATTGCTTTTCTAGTTTATCTTCCACGTTCCTCCCTAAGCACATCCCATCCACAGCCTGAAAATAAACAGGCCTATAAGGAGACACCACCATCCACAGCACCCCAGACACACATGCCTTGTTTCAGCCCACAAAGAGCTCTCCACAGGCATGACAGCATGCCAGGAGAACATAACTTTTCTACAGTCAGTGTCTTACAGCATTTAACACCATACACTAAATTAAAAAAAAAAAAAAAGGGAGTCATTCAGACTTGCTTTAAGTTTAAAACCAGGTTCAAGACAAGCTAGGCAACAGTCCCTTCAATGATGCAGGTTGTGAGGGCTGACTCTTGAAGCTGCTTGAACCAAGGAATCAAGCCTGATGAGCTCTGGGCCAGCAAGTAGATTTATCACCTGAACTAAGTGATCAAGCACAGTGATGACATACATTGGTGTTGGGTTTTGAAAAAAGCAGCAGTTGAAGGCTAGCTATTCTTCCTGCAAGCTCTTCTTGTCCCTTTTGGCATCCAACAGTGATCATAGTATCCCTTCTAGGTTAGGGTAAAACAGCTAGTAAGTATTTTATACAGTAGTCCTCAGAATTAAAAGCTAGATTAAAAAAGTTAAGTACTCTAGCCCATTGCTTCTCTCCAGCCCATCATAGGCTATTATAGGCACTCAAATAATTACATAAAGCTCATGCACTAGAAAAAGTAAGATTCCCTTGACCTCTATCTCTACCAACTATTCAGCACGCTCCCTTTGAGCCAAGGGATTAAGTTATTCTGCTCAACCAGCATGCAGGAAGCTTTGTGAGGCTGTTTGGGACTGCACAAGCTGGCCACCTCAGCACTGGCCCAGAAGACGAGCCACCTCTCTGAAGATAGTATGGCTCATGTCAGAGATCAGTTTCACATCCAGGGATGGTGTCAGGATGACCCCACATCTCATACTCCCCCCCATAGCTAGCCCTTCACACAGGTGGGGTGAGCTGCTTCTTATGGACACAAAGGTGCAAAATCTGGGCATTTACAGGTTGTGATGGCAGCTACTGCTGCAACAGCAAGAGAAGCCCAGCACGTTGATGTTCATTCAGTACAGCCATAGCGTCCTAACTTGTGAGCAGTGCCACACCATTAGCTGCCAAGCAGTCCATGGTATGGAGTAACAAACCGTTAGGAGATATTTTTAAAAAGCAACATCACTTCCAAAGCCTGTTTATCGCAAAGCATCATGGGGATTACATGTACCACCCCTTTCTCAGTCAAGGCACTTCCACAAGGTACGTAACAGTCACCTTCTTGTAACAGGACATAGCACAGAGCAGCTGTGTTGCTTGTTTGCATTTAGCTCCTGTAACACCTGAGCACAGACTCCTCTGCAGGACTCAGGGCCCCAGCTGGACAAAATCCTGTTTTATAGTCCACAGGAAGAGAAACTGCATTTTCAGGGCCCAACATGGCCAACAGCTGACTTCAGATGTGCATCAAAGCAAAAAAGTATCATTGATCACTTGTTATTAGAGAAACAGGAAGGTTTTGAAGGCAGCAGTCAGGGCTATCAACCCACAGCTATGTTACAGGCACCATATGGCTACAGTTAATCTCTATTTTTGGTAACACCAAGGGTATAATGAGAGTTTTTCAAGATCAGCTGATAAAACAACTGGTGACTAAGCATATCAGATCCTCTCCCACAGGCACATGTCTCCTAATACGGCAGCCTGTAGGGCCACATTTCCTGTCATCACAGTTGCATTTTCATTTCCCAAAACACCCTTTCTGCCTCCAGTAGGGAGGACCTCACTGCAAGGACACATGCAAGGAGAAGACTCCATTCCCCGCAAGCCAGCCACTCCATTTCCCAACAGGCACAGGCCAACATTGCAAGGAGAACCCTGCAGCTGAAGTACAGCCCACTAAAAATATAACACTAGAACATATTTTGAAAAAGCCTTTTAACACTAGGCAAGCAATACAAACCAGCCACCACTACATAGCTTGGACAGACAATATAAGCACTGTAGTGTCACCCTGGAGACTAGCAGCTTTTCAGAAGAGGAAGGAGCAGCAGCACTGAAGAGACACATGAGCAACAGCTCCTGGTCCTTTGAGCATCCAGAGAGCCAGTTATGTGTGTTGCGGCAGGGAAGGCAGCCCTTTATACCAGAGGCACTTCCTTGACTGTAAGCCCACTGCCAGCAGAGCACCGCGCATCTGGTTTTGCTGGGAGGCTTACACAGAGCTACACAGAGCCATACCTTTTCCCCACCTTTACATACAGCTCACGTTCAGACCAGCTCCCAGGCCTGCAGACACACACCAGCAACAGTTAGTCAACCAGGACGTTATTCTTGGGTCAATAGTAAGGCCCTAGCTTCTCGTAGCCTGAATAGCTGGGCCACTCGGGAAAGAGGCCATAGGAGCATCGAGGGCTCCCAAACTGGTCAAAGGCGCTGCCAAAGTCAGGGCCCTGCGGGGAGCGAACAGCTTCCTGGGCAGACTTCAGTTCCGATCGAATGATCCTATAATTTGTGCCCCTGTTGTTATCCCAGTACACCTGGCCATTGCACTCAAAGGAGATGGCAAACTCAATTCTTTCATGGGATTGGATTCCCTCAGGGAAGCTGATGTCAAAGGAAAACGTGTCCCGATCTGACCCTCCATACGTATCCTTGACATACTGGCATGGGTAATCGACAAAGTTTTTCCAGGTGTCAAACGTCATCCTGATCTTCACAGTCTTTTCAAAAGCGAGGTTCTTCACCTTCACTGTTCCTACAACAGATCGCTCCTTTAGCATACAGTTTTCAAGGCAGACACAGTCTGCCTGGAGGCGGTTTCTGAAGTCCAGGTAGTCCACAGAGGGTTGAACAAAATCCAGAACAAAGCTGTCCCTCCTCTCCACTGTTGTCAGACCCACAATGTTGTCTATCAGCTCGGTGATGTTGAAAGGAATATCTAGTGGATCGTCAAACTCTGAGAACACCTTCACCATCGTCAAAGCAAAGCCTCTGCTATCTGCAAACGACACCCTCTTCTTCACTTTGTTGTTCGTGAAGGAGTTTGCTGCTTCTTCTGGTCCATTCAGCACAGTCTTGCCACTCAGCTGGATGCAGGGCCGCAACGGCTTGCTCAGCTTGGGAGCAATTTTGCAAGTACACTTCTCTCTTCGCAAGGGTGAAGAGCATAGGTATAGCTGCATTGCTACATCCACAGCCATTGCTTGTTTGTGAGGAAAATAGTCTAACACTCTGAAAGATGAGAAGAAGGGTCAGTTGGTGTTAGAAAAGCATTTTAATATGACTTTTGTCAGCCAACTACTACACCACTCCCCCCTCAGCCATCCCCCCCAAAAATTTGCTTCCATCAGCTCCACAACTCCCTCAAGCTTAGAGTCATGTGGTTGCATGGTGTGATATTATAGACACAGTGAGAAGTGTGCTACAGCAGAAGTGGCAGGACCAGAGCCTGTTGCCTCCTTGCACAAGGGCCCTTCCGATTAGCATTTGAAAGCACATGCAGGCACTACCCCACTAGGTTAGTGACACCAGACTCCAGAGAGATACCCAAAGGCATGGCTCTGTCCTGCTGATGTCCACAGAACCCACAGATTATCAATTTTCAATGCTACATAAAGCAGTGTTCCTGCTGTGCTCTCCTCCCTCCAGGGCACTGGATGGTTTTGTAAGAGCAGGAACTCTGTTTGTCACAAGCTACTATATGCAACCAACCTCACCTTTCATAAACCCCCAAATGTCTTGAGAGGTTAAAAAGCATTCACTTGGGTGAGCTACATACTTTGCTCATCACCATCTCCCAGAATCGCTCCATCTAAAATGCTTGCAAGTGTTACTTGAAGGATAGCAACAGCCTGATGTAATAGGAGGGTAGAAAATTAGTCAACATTGCTCTGCACCTACAGTGAAGCCTCTTTCTTCCCTCTACTTCACTTTAAAACAGGTCTCAGCTCAAATAGCCCAGCAGGTTTTACCTCCAGCACAGAGTTCGCACCACAAACCTCCACAGGGCTTGCACTGAGCCCCTGAGAAATATCTGTATAGCCATGGGGCTCTGCCAACCACAATTTACCTACTGAAGGTTGACCAAGCCTTTAGAAACAAGTCCTTTCCTTGGAAGGTGCAGGCCATGTGCCCTCTCCACCACAGCCTCTCCTCCTCCAGCACTCAGCCCGTTCCTCCTCTCTGTGCACAGTTCAGGGCAGCTCCCACCCAGGGCATTGCCAGTTGTAGCCCTGGAGTTGCCACTGCAGCCAGGCAGCTCCCAGAACATCATACCTATCGCTCCTGCTCTTACACTGAGGTTAGGCTGGATGCTTTTGGCAGAATCCCTGACCTGGCTTTGGATAAACCACTGGATAGATTTATCACACACACCCCCCTTAAGTCAACTATGTTGCAGCTGACCTCAAACACAGAGTATTCCCTTAATAAAAATTCCCTGTTTGGCTGCAGACCAGACTTCAAAGCTGCTCCCACCGCACAGAGCGGGGCAAGCCAGCAGTGGTAGCAGCAGCAGCCGCGTGACACAGCAGCGTTCTGGCTGCCAAAGCCACGCAAAGCCAGCTCTAGTACTTGATTGCTGCCCCTGTGCCAAAAAAAAGAAAGCGCTACACTCTCCAATTCAGCATTTTAACTCCCCACCCTGCAACACCAACAGAGCACCCCTGAACAAGCCTTCACACCATCCATTCACCAAGGGCATCTGTTTATTCAGAGCACATGTGCCAAAGATCACTTCCCAACACACCCACCAGCTAACCCCTTCAGCATTGCCTCCTTCGGCCTCCTTCCAGCTCAAGGACAGACAGCAGATCCACCTGTCTGCTAACACCATTCTGCTCATCTCTACCTAGTTCTGCCAAGTTTTTATTGATGTACACTTTATATAGGTCATTTCCTCCTTTACATTAATGCAGCCTTCAATGCTTCTCTCTTCCTTGGGTCCGCTTCATCCGCATTGCATCTTTTCACAGGGAAATTTATTCAGCTGAAATCCCATAACTGCTGAGAACTCAATAAGCCTTGGTTATTTCACCCTTTTTAAAATTAAGAGGCGGAAAAATATCCAGCCTGATTTGCATCACTTGGAGCTTTTTTCCCAAGTTAAGAACTGCAGTATGAGCTTTTTGTACCTGCTGTTAGTTTGTAAAAGTATGCAGCTCAACCTATGTCAGCCCCTTTGATACCACAGGCATCTCTTTTGGCTCTCGAGAGCACAATGATGCCCAACTCCCAGTCACAGATGCCCGTTTCCCTTTTGGGGCTGGTGTTGGCTGTCTTGACCCTGGGATGCTTTGAAAGTGGGAGCAAAGAAATAGTTTTCCTCATGCAGGAAAAGGAGCCCTAGGAAACAACTTGGGGAAAGCTGGCAACCCTAAGCAGGTACAGGGGCTGATTCCTTTCCTGACACCCTCAGATTCTGCCTCTAGACATCTTCACGCAGCTTTGCTCTCTCCAGAAGGGGATGTCACGGCTTACTCTTCCTTCCTTTATTTCTAGGAAGGAGAAGCAATTCAGAGCAAAGGAATTATTTTCGCCTGCGCTTATCCAAACCCCCCGATTGCCCCCAATCTGCCCCCAGCGCTGTTTTTTAAACAGGCAGTCGTCGTGCAAAGGGCTCAGCGTGCAGCAGCTGCTAAGCCAGGAGTTTTTAGAGGCGACACGGTGCTGGATAACGAAGCAGCGCCGGGGTTTTCTGCCCTCTCCTCTGCGCTTCAGGCAAAGCCGAGCTGTTCCCAGGCGCAGCCCGGCCCTCACAGGCACTTCCCCGAGCTCCGCGGCCACACCTTCGCCCCGCACGCAGCCCGGCCCTGCTGCAGGCAGACAGCAGCGCTGCAAACCCGTCGCCCAGCCCCACGGAGGCTCGGCAGG